TCATCCTATCATGCAGCAAATATCTTAGGTTATAGCATTTAAAAGAAATACAGACTTTTTTTTGGTTTGTTTTGTATGGAAGAACTGAATATAATGTCAACCATTGATAATAAATTACATGCAATGAAAAAAGATAATTTATTGACACTTGACTCAGAGCTATGATATTGCAAACTGGCTAGACAGTCTGGAAGAAATTTGAGGTTGGAAAAACCAACAGCAGTCATTAGTTTGAAGAATGATAAGGAGAGAAGAGAGTTGTTTATAATTGCAAAGGAATTCACGATAAGGAAATCGCATAGAATGTTAATCGACTTTTCTGCTCCTGTGACACCTGCAAGGTATTTAAAGGCCCACATATAGCTACGTAGAGGAAGAACACATGACCTCAGATTCGATCAAAGAGCCTGTGATCCTAGTCCTGTGACTTTTAATAGATTCTCCTATTAATTAGGTATGCTAAAGCCAATGGATCAGGAGATAACTCCTGTTGTAAAGAGGGTTTAGTGTAGTTGCAGACTGCAAGAGAGAGAGGGTGCATGTGATGCTGGAGTGGGGGCGGGGAGCTTGCCAAGAAAGCAAGCACTGGGGTCCATCACAAGGCAGAGCCAGAGCCCATTTATTACGATTTCCATGGGAAGAGATGAGTCAGGCAGGGTAAACAGGTTTAGAATTCATCAGTTTGAATAATTGGCCCTGGGTAATTAAGGCAGATGAATGGTAACCTGCATGTGAGAACCCCTTAAGAGACGTGCTTGGGTGTGTGGGCCCTGGATTGCTTGGCTTGTGTTGGAAAGCTACACCCTGGGGAGTAGCTCCTCTTGAGAATGGCCCGGTCAATGAGGAAAGTAGAGGCCCCGGCAGGATCCTCAGATGTGTTATCAGATTCTCCAGGACAAGGTGTCCAGTGTGTGCACACAGAGCAGGTGTTAAAGTATCGGGTTTACTGAAGCTAGGAATGTGGCTTAGATGTGGTGGCTGAACCACCCTTTGGTAGCTTTTGCAAGTCTGCAATCTATTCTTCATTCCCAACAGGAATGAGGATAATGGTAACTGGCCTGATTCTCCTAGGAACTGTGGTCCCAGTGTTCTTAACCCATCTTGGGCCTTTGACTCCCTAGGCTACAGATCCATTCTCAGAGTAAGTGTGTTTTTGTAAGCAAAATAAAATGTGTTGGTTACAAAGGAATTTAGTTATGTTGAAATACTGTTCTAGTTACAGGTTAGGAATCCTTGAGTGCCACTTGCCGAAGACTATGGTTCACACGTTGAGCGCAAGCCTGCTTGCCACGTCACCCGTCACCCGCTACAAGCTGTGCAGGCTCCTCAGTGTCCTCAGACTCTGAAACCTGTGCTGCTCGTTTCCGAACTTAGGAGGTGGGCAGTGGCGAAGCCACGAGCTCTGAAGCCCCGTGGCCTGCATTTGGATCCCAGTGCTGCCTCACAGGATCTGTGAGATCAGCAAACAGGTCCCTTCTCTGTGCTTCTTGGCACATTTTACAGCCTGAGACTAATTTGTGTGTATAGCCATTTCCTGTACTCCACAAGAGGCTCCAGACTCGCTGGGCTTTTGGAAACGGGTGTTGTGGCGTAGCAGATTAAGTTGCTGCTTGGGACGCCCTATCCTTTATTGAAGTGCCTGGGATCAAGTCTCGCCTTTGCTCCTGATCCAGCTTCCTGCATATGCATACCCTGGGAGGCAGCAAATGATGGCTCAAGTACTTGGGTCCCTGACACACACTGGGTGCTGGCTTCAACCTGTTGTGGGCACTTGGGGAATGAAACAGTGGAAGGAAAATTTCAATCTCTCTCACTTTTTAAATATTTATTGATTTACTTGAAAGGCAAAGTTGTACAGAGAGGGAAACACACACACACACACACACACACATGCACATACACATTCACAGAGTTGGGGGGAGAGAGAGAGGGAAAGTGAGAGAGAGAAAGAGAGAGAGAGAGAGAGGTCTTCCATCCTATGGTTCACTCTTCATTCCCTCAAACGGCTGCAATGGCCAGGGCTAGGCTGGCCTGGGCTGGAGCCAGGAGCCAGGAGCCAGGAGCTTCATCCAGGTCTCCCAAGTGGATGCAGGGGCCCAAGCACTTGGCCCATGCTCTGCTGCTTTCCCAAGCACAGTAGCAGGGAGCTGGCTCAGAAGTGGAGCAGCCAGGACGCGAAGCAGCCCCTGTCTTGGGTGGTAGCATCACAGGAGGAAGCTTTACCTGCTTCCCCACATTGCCGACCTCTCTCTCTCTCTCTCTTTCAGTTAAGTAAAAGTAAATAAATAAACTTAGTAAAGGGTTAGGATCTTGTTTCTTTTGTTCATTGTGAGTATCTGAATCTAGTGCAGTGATAAGGCACACAGCAGTAGCTGTGTAAATATCCCTAGGTGAAGGATGGCACCATGAATCCACTCACTGGTTTTCCCAGCAGCCCACCTTTCTTTCGTTACTGATCAGGAGACCATAGAGCTCTGCCGGATCCGCTGACTTTAGAACCCTTATCCAGAAAGCATGATTTATGGCTACTGCTTGAGTCAGCACAGATTCATTCCTATCATAAATTCATTGTAAAGGAGAGCATTTATGTAGATATTTACATATATGGTTTTGAAGCATTTAAAGCTAAATCTGCAGCACATAATGCTAATTGTTCATTCAGATGCCGGATATTGTAAAAGTCAGATTAAGGGGTAGGCACTTGGTATAGCAGTTCAGATGCTGGTTGGGACCCTTGCACCCCATATTGGAATGCCGGGGTTTGAGTTGTGACTTGCTCCAGATTCCACCTTCCTATTAACACACACCCTGGGAGGCAGTGGTGATGGCTTAAGTGGATGGGTTCCTGCCACACATGTAGGAGACACACAATGAGTTCTCTGCTTCCAGCTTCGGCTTGCCCAGCCCTGGCTGTTGTGGGCAGCAGATGGGACTTGTTGTCTGTCTCTGTCTCTCTGCCTATCAGATAAATAAATATATTAAAAATCACATCAACTTCAATTTCTCTATACTATGCTTAAGGACCTAAGTATGAGGATACTTTGAAAGGTTCATGAAAAAAATGAATTAAAAAGTGTTTATTTTGGTGCAAAAATTTCTTGGAATCCATGTGTAGGCGTCCCTTAATAGCCATTTTTCATGAACTTCTTGAAGACCTTGGGTATGCATGGATCTCAACATTTTATGAACTAAAATAAACTCATTTTTTCAATTCCATTTCCACACACTTTTTGAAGTACCCTTATGTAAGGCACATTTTGGAAAGACCCTCATAATTTAGGGGTTAACATGTAGCTTTTCAAAGAACTCTCAGGAAGCTTTGATTTAAAACAAATTTTTGAATTCTGAAAAAAATAACACATATCAAAGTAGGAAGTACACTATGATTAATCTCTGATTATCCATTACTCAGCCTCCACACGATCAGCATATCCACCCTCAGTCTCTTCTCATGAAACTCTTATCACTCAGGATTATTTATTAAACCATATCCAATTTATCATTATATTTCATTTGTGATTACTTCACAATATATCTCGGAAGATAAGTGTCCTTTAAAAGTAAATAATCCATTTTCATACCTAAAATAATAATAAAATAATTTCTTAATATTTTCAGATCAATGTTAAAATCTCCCCCGTTGTCACATAAATGTTTTTTGTGGTTGATTTGTTTGAATCCAGATCCAAACTAGGTCAACTTCTTGCACTGAGCAATCTCTTAAATCTCCTTTAATTAGTAACAGTTTTTCCTTCTCTCTTTCTTTTTGTCACTTCTCTCTCTTTTTTTTAATTGAAGAAACCAGATTATTAGTTGCACCAAATTTCTCGAATTCTTGATTTTACTGATTGCTTTCCCAAGGTGACCTTTTGCACGATTAACTCTATCCCGTGTATTTCCCCAACACTGAGAGATACAGTTGGAGGCTTCACTGGATTCCAGTTTGACTTTTTAGTAAAACTACTTTGTAAGGATTTCTGTGCACTTCAGATAGCATCCCATTGGGAGACCTGTCACGTCTGGTGGGGTCTCTGTGAATGAAGATTGACCTGTGGGGGGCTGGTATTGTGGATCCTATCCTAAAAATCCCGTACAAAAAAAATCCCATCCGCCTTCCCTGTGATGCAATGCTCTCAGCCCTGCCTGCAAGTTAGAACATCTATGGAGCAGATACAAAGTTCTGTGCCCAGACCCCACTCCCAAGACTTGGTCCACAGTGGATCTTGGCTCAGCAATTTGTTGAATCTTAGGAGATTCTAATGTACAGACAGGGTTGAGAACCTCAGACCTGGTAAATTTGGCTGCCATTGAGGAGCTTGCCCCAGAGACCCATTATTTCAGATGGGGCTGTCGAAAGGGTGTGTTCCAACGTGCTTTCTGCATGCATCAGCAGAAAGTCTTCTGTGAAAGCTCTCAGTAAGCCTTTGGTTCTTTCCTGTCAAGCTTATTTATTTGTTTTTATTTGAAAGGCAGAGAGAGAGAGAGAGAGAGAGAGTGAGCAAGCGAGCAGGATAATAGGAATGGTGGATTTCAAACCTTTGAATCGATTACAATTATTACTACTATTTTAATGTACACATTTTTTGAATTTTAGCCCACAGAAGCCCTTTCAAGGGTGCTCTTTTGGCTTTTTGCATACTCTTTAGTTGCTCAGTAGTAGTATTTACGTGCTTCCTAGCTCTTAAATATGACTGTGTTTTAGGTTTATCTTATGCATTTGACAGTTTGGTTGTTCTGTAGTCTCCACATCTTGCGTAATTTCTATCCAGAACCTGAAATCAACCATTTAGAAGTTTTCTGCACTGTATCCTAGTGGCTAGGATAAGATTTCAAAATGGAATGGCAGATACTTATAGTAATAGTAAATTGCAATGGATATCAAATGGAAACTAGGAGAAATAGGAAGATTACTTAACATAAATCCTCCACCTAAGATCATGAATCCTGTGGTGAATGTTGTGTAAACCCATGGTAATCAGTGTGTATTTGTTTCTTCCAAGTTGATGTCCATCAGTGTGCTGGCCGTTTCTGCTTGGATGAGAGACTACCTGAATAATGTTCTGACTTTAACTGCAGAAACAAGGTAGGCTTTGTAGTGATTCATCAAATCCCTTTGTCAGGTTTCCTCAAATGCTGGCTTTTAAGTAATTTTGCCCTCTGCTGTGTGTATGGTGGTGCTGTTCCACAGTCTGCTGGGAGAACTTTCCCTGTGCATGGCAACCTTTGTTGCAGACACGTGCATGCTCCAGCCCCTCACTGAGGTGTGCTCTTGGTCCTGTCAGGGATCCAGGGTTCATAGGAACATTTTTGGACACAGTAATAGCAATCACCTGGGCTCCTGAATGTTTGTCAGCTACGTCATATTTATGTATAAAGAAACAGTACAGCTACTTCTCCCTGAGAAAGTTACTGTTAGGGGTAGGCATTTGGTGCAGTGGTGAAGGCCCTGCTTGGGTTTCTGACCCTCATGTTGGAGAGCCGGTTCGAATCCTGGCTCTGACTCCCGTTCCAGCTTCTTGCTGATGCACACCCTGGGAGGCGGCAGTGGTGGCTCAGGGATTTGCTGTCTGCCACTCACATGGGAGACCTGAGTGACTTCCAGGCTGCTGGCTTTGGCCTGGCTCAGCACCAGCCATCATGGGCCTTTGCAGAGCGAGCTGGTGAATGGAAAGCCTTCTTCTTTGTCTTGCTGTCTCTGACTCTCCTCTCTGTCTTTCAAATAAGTAAAAATAAATAAAAGTCATTTTTAAAAACCTTACTGTTAGGCCAGTGCCGTGGCTCAATAGGCTAATCCTCCGCCTTGCGGCGCTGGCACACCGGGTTCTAGTCCCGGTCGGGGCGCCAGATTCTGTCCTGGTTGCCCCTCTTCCAGGCCAGCTCTCTGCTGTGGCCTGGGAGTGCAGTGGAGGATGGCCCAAGTGCTTGGGCCCTGCACCCCATGGGAGACCAGGATAAGTACCTGGCTCCTGCCTTCGGATCAGCACGATGCGCCATTGGAGGGTGAACCAACAGCAAAAGGAAGACCTTTCTCTCTGTCTCTCTCTCTCTCACTGTCTAACTCTGCCTGTCAAAAAAAAAAAAAAAAAAACCTTACTGTTAGCCTCTTCTGTCGTATTCTTGGGCTAATGAAAATTAAATCTCACACTGCCATTTTCTTCTCAAATATCAAGGGTTTAGTCCCTAATATCACAAGGGGCAAAGTAATCAATTTCTTCATCTCTGGATGTGGGTTGTAATATCCACATGTAATAATGCTCAGACTGTGTTAAAGATTAAATAAGATACACTTTTGTCCTTGACACATGGAATTTAGTAAATACTTAATAATGGTTAAGTTTTTTTTTAAAGATTTATTTATTTATTTGAAAGTCAGTTACACACAGAGAGAAGGAGAGGCAGAGAAAGACAGGTCTTCCATCTGTTGGTTCACTCCCCAATTGGCCACAATGGCTGGAGCTGCACCGATCCAAAGCAGGGGCCAGGAGCTTCTTCTGGGTCTCCCACACGGGTGCAGGGGCCCAATCTTGAGCCATCTTCCATTGCTTTCCCAGGCCATAGCAGAGAGCTGGATCTGAAGTGGAGCAGCTGAGTCTCAAACTGGCACGCATATGGGATGCCGGTGCTTCAGGCCAGGGCGTTAACCCACTGCACCATAACGCTGGCCCCAGTAGTGGTTAAGTTTTGATACCATTATTATTAATGGTCCTGGTTAATAAGTTTTGTATAATGTCCTAGAAAAAATCATCTTTCTGCCTTCGTTTTTCTTTGAATGTAGATCAGTTTCCCATTGCGTCTTTCACATCTTAAGGGACAGTCAGTTGTCAGGAAGAAGAACCATGGTGCATGTGAGGTCAAAGATCAGAGACGAGGGGCCTGTGTTGTGGCACAGCAGGTAAAGCCGCTGCCTGAGATGCCACCATTCCACATGGGTGCTACTGAGAGTCCTGGCTGCTCCACTTCCAATTCAGCTCCCTGCTAATGGTCTGGGAAAAGCAGTGGAAGATGGTCCAAGTGTTTGGACCCCTGCCACCCACAGAGGAGACCTGAATTAAACTCCTGGCTTTGTCCTGGCTCAACCCTGACCATTGTGGCCATTTGGAGAGTGAGCAAGTGGGTGGAAGAACTCTGTAACTCTGACTTTCAAATAAATAAATCTTAAAAAAAGTCAGAGAAGCGGAAGAGGATTCCATATGATTGACTTAGACAAAGGCCTCAGGGCTCATGGTAGATCCACTTCTTATTGAGGGTGTCTATATTGTATTCTAAATGAGTTGGGTCAGGGTTGCTACCACTTGAATAAAGAACTAAACAAATAAAAAACAATAAAAAAGCAAGGAAGCAAATAACCACACAAACAATAGCACAGTGAATTTGAAAATATCACTGCAGTTACTATCCTGGAGGCATGACAAGCTAAATAATTTTTAATGTGAATCACTGTTGTACCTGTTGCAGGATTCAGGTGCAGTTTCATGATGTTTCATTAATAATGTGATTTTTTTCTTCCTTCAGGGTGGAGGAGGCAGTCATCTTGACTTACTTCCCTGTGGTTCATCCGGTCATGATTGCTGTTTGCTGTTTCCTTATCATCGTGGGCATGTTAGGGTATTGTGGAACGGTGAAAAGGAATCTGTTGCTTCTTGCATGGGTACGTGTTTATGTTTTATCTTTATTAAGTTAAAAAGACCAACCATTAGCATGTTGTTTTTTCATCAGTCTGCAAGAGTAGGAAACTGTGATGGCAGTAATTGTGATCTGTGGTAATTGTTCAACAGCCTGTGAGAAAGGAAGCTTTCTTTCCAATGGAGATGATTTCAGTACAAGTATTTTCTGGATGCACAAATGCTAAGATATAGCAATATACACCCCTTTAAGTTATCTTATTCTGGCTTGGTGGCAACATTTTTATTTAAACATATGTGTTCTTTCCAGTGAGATTGACTTATTACCACTCAAAAAGTTCCCTCAGAACTCACACTGAGAAGTCTTAGTGAAACTCTTATTTCTTTGTTTTCATTTTTAATTGAAAACATTTTTTTGAATGACATAGAAAGAGAGAGACACACACCCAGACAGAGAGTATTCATTTGCTGGTGCACTCCCCGAATGCCCACAATAGCCCGGACTGGGCTGGGCTGGGCTGGGCTGGGAGCCCAGAACTCAGTTCAGTCGCCAGTGCTGCCTGCAAGAGACTGCATTAGCAGGAAGCTGGAATCGGAGCAGAGCTGGCAGTTCACCCCAGGCATCCTGATGTGTGATGCAGCCATATTAACCAGGGTCCTAATCGCTAGGCAAAATGTACAGCTCAAAAACACAATTTGTTTATGGTTTTGTGGAAGAGCATTGAGAGTATAAAATATTCCATACTCATGACAGCAAGTGGTAAGGATGCTGACATGTAAATGTAGACATAGAAGACTACTGAAAAATTAATTCATTGAGTGTATTCCTTTTTTTGCAATAGGTCTTAACAGTGCATTAATTTCATGTGGACAAGTTAAAAACCTTGAGTGGTATAGTGTTAGGCTGGAAAATAAAAGCCCTGGTTTGTAGTACTTGAGGATTACCATTGGGTAGGTACTTCTCATATGGCCGATTTCTCGTTACAAATATGGCATCATTGAGTGTGGATTTGGGGTGAGATGAGCACAAATTGGCTCTCAGCAGTCAGCTCCTGCCTACCTGTGCTTGACTAGTTCCCATGTAAGCCAATTAGAAGAAAACTTTTGTGTGAAACTGTACTGCAGCTTTGAAGTTCACAGGAACAACCTATGGGAATGTATTCTTGGCTTCTTGGAGAGTAAGTCTTCAGGTCAGTAAGTGGAGAACTGAAAATACTGTAGAGGATAAACCACACTCAATGAGGGGGAGATATGCCTCCTGCCCTACTGCTCTCCACAGTGAGGAAGAGAATATGAAACAGTAGGATGATCACTTAAAAATAAATCTGTTGTATAATTTGAGGATGTATGATGTATATGAAACTTTGAAAATAATTTCAGTTGGTGCAGGTGTTTGGCCCAGGGGTTAAGATGCTGCTTGGGATACCTACATCCCATAATGACTTGCCAAGGTTGAGTCCCAGCTCAGTTCCCGATTCCAGCCTTTTGCCGATCCCCAACCTGGGAGGCAGCAGATGAAGGCTCAGGTGCTTGGGGCTCTACCACCCCCAAGCATTAGACTGAGTTCCCAGCTCCTGGCTTCAGCCTGGCTCAGTCCTGGCTGTTGTGGGCATTTTGGGGGTGAAACACTGGATGAGGGATTGCTGTGTCTTTTCTTTCTACCTCTCAAATAATAATAAAAAATCATAATCCATTTTAAAATGTTTTTTATTTTCATCTACTTGAATGACAGAGTGAGAACAAGAGTGAGAGTGAGAGTGAGAGAGAGAGAGATCGAGAGATCTTTTATCTGCTGACTCATTTCCCAAATGCCTGAAACAGCCAAGGCTGGGCCAGGCCGAAGTCAGGAACCAATACGCCATCCAGGTCCCCCAGGTTGGTGGCAGGAACCCAGGCACTGGTGCCATCATCCACTACTTCCCAGGATGTACAGGCAGGAAGCTGGATTGGAAGCAGAGAAGCTGGGAACTCCAACCACTATTCCAATATGGGATGCAGCCATCACAGACATTGGTTTAACCCCCTGTGCCACCATACCCACCCCTTAGAATCCCTTTTACTTCCACTGTCCAGCAATGTAGTCTCATTTATGTACAGGTTAAGTATGACTGACGTTTTCCTTCTTCCTCCCAGCTGTTACTCTGGATGATTTCTTGGCAGTGGGATGTGGTGGGGTTGGGGTTAAGTATTTCATGGACCACAAAGGTAACACATTTCAAAAACCATTATGCATGCATTAATCTACTTAATGCTTGTAAAGCAAGTTGACAAATAACAGAGCCATTAGGCCTGCTACTTGAGGTAGGAAAGATCACAGACCTATGAATGAGAATATACTTTGTGATCCCGGCAAGAGCTTCATGATGCAAACTTTATGTGGAGGACTATGGGCCATGGGCCACTAGCTTGTTCATTCATTCATTCTTCAAGCTCTTACAGAGCACACATAGGCCACCTGTTTTTGCCATCCAACTAATGTGTATGATAGAGTTGCACTACTCTGGTAAGACCTCTGCTAATAAGATGTGCACCAGATGATTGAGACCAGAGAGGAAGAGCTCCAAGCTCAGCCCTAAGTGGCCAGTGGTGGCCCCTGCGAGAAGAATGAGCATGGATTGTTCCTGCTTTGCTTCCACTCCCACTCTCCCTCCCCCTTTGCTTGTAGGATGCACTCTTTTTCATTAAACAACTTTTTTTTTTAAAGATTTACTTACTTGTTTATTTGAAGGGCAGAGTGACAGAGAGAGATGCAGAGACAGAAAGGGAAAGAGGTCTTCCATGCACTGGTTCCTTCCCCCCGTAACTACCATATCTGTCTCTCACAGCAAACTGCTCTGGCCTACTTCTCAGGCCCTTTCTTTCCTTTCCTTTCCTTTCCTTTCCTTTCCTTTCCTTTCCTTTCCTTTCCTTTCCTTTCCTTTCCTTTCCTTTCTTTTCTTTCCTTTCTTTTCTTTCTTTTCTTTCTTTTCTTTCTTTTATTTATTTATTTTTTTGACAGGCAGAGTTAGACAGTGAGAGAGAGAGAGAGAAAGAAAGGTCTTCCTTCCGTTGGTTCACCCCGCCAAATGGCCTCCAAGGCCGGTTAGCTGCAGCTGGTGCGCTGCGCTGATCCGAAGCCAGGAGCCAGGTACTTATCCTGGTCTCCCATGGGGTGCAGGGCCCAAGCACTTGGGCCATCCTCCACTGCACTCCCTGGCCACAGCAGAGAGCTGGCCTGGAAGAGCAACAGCCAGGACAGAACCAGCGCCCCGACCGGGACTAGGACCCGGTGTGCAGGCACCACAGGCGGAGGATTAGCCTAGTGAGCCGCGCTGGCCAGGCCCTTTCTTTTCTAGCTTCCTCTCCACAGCCTCCTCTTCTGAACATTGGCTACACCCCATTGGTTCTGGTTCTACAGTCTTGGGAACGCCTCCCATCTTTTCTATTCTGGTTTGGAATGTCCAAGCTCAGGCTCTCCTGACTTTTTACTCAGTCGGTCCCTCACTACCCTTCCTGCCTCTATTGTCACTGGGTAATCTCATTTCTCCTCTGTTTGGAGATCTTGGGAGACTGCCTCTTGGGTAATAAAGTGTTACTGACACCTCAGATTTGCATCAAGTCCTCCTGAAATCAAGGCTGCATCTGCCACTTTCAGCTTTCTTGCCCACTTTGTTATTCTCTGGTCAAATGATAGTTTCTCATCCCTGAACAAATGTTTCTTGCTCTCTTTGTCTCAATCATCTTCTTAATCTTGCTGTCCCTTTAGCTGGGACTTTCTGCTTTTGCCTAAATATGATCTGAAATGCTATCTCCTAAAATATCAATAGTGACAATGATACGGATGATAATTGAAGTATTTAGCATTTCTCACTTGCTGACAGTACCAAACGTTGTAGAATTTTACAATGATTTAAATGATTTTTTTTAAAAATTGGGAATAAGTGACCTTAGCAGCTTTTATTTATTTTTTTAAAGATTTATTTATTTATTTGAAAGTGAAAGTTACACAGAGAGAGGAGAGGCAGAGAGAGAGAGACAGAGAGTTCATCCATCCACTGGTTCACTCTCCAATTGGCCGCAATGGCCAGAGCTGCACTGATCCGAAGCCAGGAACAAGGAACTTCTTCTGGGTCTCCCATGTAGGTGCATGGGCCCAAGGACTTGGGTCGTCTTCTACTGCTTTCCCAGGCCATAGCAGAGAGCTGGATAGGAAGTGGAGCAGCTGGGTCTCGAACTGGCGCCCATATGGGGTACCAGCACTTTAGGCCAGGGCGTTAACCTGCTGCACCATAGTGCCGGCCCCTCTCAGCGGCTTTTAAAAGAACTTTTATTTGTTTACTTATTTTTTTCCCAAAGAAACCTTTCATTTAAGGAGTATAAATGTTGTTAAGTACAACTTGAGGAATATAGTTATTCTTCCCACCATACTCGCGCTCCCACTCCCACTCCCACACCACTTCCTCCTCCCTCTCCCCTTGCCAATCCCATTCTCCATTAAGATTCATTTTCAGTTAACTTTATACACAGACCAACTCTATACTAAATAAAGATTTCAACAATTTTCACACACACAAAAGATGTTTGAGAACAAGTTTTGCAGTTAATTCTCATCATACAACTCTTTGAGGACAGAGGTCGGTCAACAGGCAGAGGGAAAGAGAGAGGGAAGAGAGAGAGAGAGTTATCTTCCATCTGCTGGTTAACTCCCCAAATGCCCACCGCAACCAAGGCTGGGCCAGATGGAAGCCAGGTGCTGGGAATTCCATCCAGGTCTCTAACCTGAGTGGCCGGGGCCCAACCACTGATGCCTCCCCAGGGTGCATTAACAGGAAGCCAGATTAGAAGCAGAGCAGCTGGGATTCAAAGTGGCACTCTGATAGGGGATGTGGGCATCACAGGCAGCATCTTAAGGGCTGTGCCTCAATGCCAGCCCCTACATGATTTTTTCCATGAAAACTTTTACATGAATTAATTGTTATCCTCTCTGCAATTCTAATAAGGTAAATATTATTGTGGTTTGCTAATATAGACAAGGAGACGAGGTATG